TCGCTGATATTTTTCCTCTTCTCTCGGCAGTGAGTGGAGCGCCATAGAGAAGGAGATGGGGGATGGACTGCAGAGCGCCGGACATCACATGGATGTGTGAGTGTGATCAGAACTGCATAATGGGTCACAATGGGCAATCCTGCATTAAACCCATCTCCAGGCAAATATTAACACCCCCCCCTCCTGGGTGGAGTTTCTCCTCCTGGGTGGGGGGACCTGGGTGGGGGGTAGTGTCTCCTCCTGGGTGGGGGGTAGTGTCTCCTCCTGGGTGGGGGGTAGTGTCTCCTCCTGGGTGGGGGGTAGTGTCTCCTCCTGGGTGGGGGGTAGTGTCTCCTCCTGGGTGGGGGGTAGTGTCTCCTCCTGGGTGGGGGGTAGTGTCTCCTCCTGGGTGGGGGGTAGTGTCTCCTCCTGGGTGGGGGGTAGTGTCTCCTCCTGGGTGGGGGGTAGTGTCTCCTCCTGGGTGGGGGGTAGTGTCTCCTCCTGGGTGGGGGGTAGTGTCTCCTCCTGGGTGGGGGGTAGTGTCTCCTCCTGGGTGGGGGGTAGTGTCTCCTCCTGGGTGGGGGGTAGTGTCTCCTCCTGGGTGGGGGGTAGTGTCTCCTCCTGGGTGGGGGGTAGTGTCTCCTCCTGGGTGGGGGGTAGTGTCTCCTCCTGGGTGGGGGGTAGTGTCTCCTCCTGGGTGGGGGGTAGTGTCTCCTCCTGGGTGGGGGGTAGTGTCTCCTCCTGGGTGGGGGGTAGTGTCTCCTCCTGGGTGGGGGGTAGTGTCTCCTCCTGGGTGGGGGGTAGTGTCTCCTCCTGGGTGGGGGGTAGTGTCTCCTCCTGGGTGGGGGGTAGTGTCTCCTCCTGGGTGGGGGGTAGTGTCTCCTCCTGGGTGGGGGGTAGTGTCTCCTCCTGGGTGGGGGGTAGTGTCTCCTCCTGGGTGGGGGGTAGTGTCTCCTCCTGGGTGGGGGGTAGTGTCTCCTCCTGGGTGGGGGGTAGTGTCTCCTCCTGGGTGGGGGGTAGTGTCTCCTCCTGGGTGGGGGGTAGTGTCTCCTCCTGGGTGGGGGGTAGTGTCTCCTCCTGGGTGGGGGGTAGTGTCTCCTCCTGGGTGGGGGGTAGTGTCTCCTCCTGGGTGGGGGGTAGTGTCTCCTCCTGGGTGGGGGGTAGTGTCTCCTCCTGGGTGGGGGGTAGTGTCTCCTCCTGGGTGGGGGGTAGTGTCTCCTCCTGGGTGGGGGGTAGTGTCTCCTCCTGGGTGGGGGGTAGTGTCTCCTCCTGGGTGGGGGGTAGTGTCTCCTCCTGGGTGGGGGGTAGTGTCTCCTCCTGGGTGGGGGGTAGTGTCTCCTCCTGGGTGGGGGGTAGTGTCTCCTCCTGGGTGGGGGGTAGTGTCTCCTCCTGGGTGGGGGGTAGTGTCTCCTCCTGGGTGGGGGGTAGTGTCTCCTCCTGGGTGGGGGGTAGTGTCTCCTCCTGGGTGGGGGGTAGTGTCTCCTCCTGGGTGGGGGGTAGTGTCTCCTCCTGGGTGGGGGGTAGTGTCTCCTCCTGGGTGGGGGGTAGTGTCTCCTCCTGGGTGGGGGGTAGTGTCTCCTCCTGGGTGGGGGGTAGTGTCTCCTCCTGGGTGGGGGGTAGTGTCTCCTCCTGGGTGGGGGGTAGTGTCTCCTCCTGGGTGGGGGGTAGTGTCTCCTCCTGGGTGGGGCACTGGGGGTCACCATTGCAGAGAATAGGAACCGTCTCTCTCCCCACAGATACGCGGCCTCCATAGACGACATCCTGGAGGAGCAGGAACACTACGCCGACCAGCTGAAGGAATATTTGTTCTATGCGGAGGCTCTGAGGTAGCTGACATGTGTCATGTATGATCTGTGTTCATTGTGTGAGCCGCACACGCCTGTTGATGTACAATGTCTGAGCCGGCCGTGTGGTGCTGATTGCAGGGCCGTGTGCCGGAAACACGAACTCATGCAGTACGACCTGGAAATGTCCGCCGTGGACCTCGTCACAAAGAAGCAGCAGTGTGAGGAGCTCGCCACCGGGGTACGTGCGCCGAACCGATCCTCAAGGGGCCGGAATTACTCTGATGTAGAAAAACTGGTTTCTGACCCATAAAGAAGAACCACCGAGACCTGCAA